AAATAACTTCATATTTGGGCGATGTAGAGCAATGGGGAGGTGTCAAGGCAGAGCAAAGCCAGCAGCGTGTCGGCTCTTGTGAGTCAGAGGAGAGTGAGGAGGGGGGAGAGGAAACCAGAAAGGCTGTTTCTGTTCCTTGCACTCTCTCGGTGGGGTCTGTAAACCGGGGGACTTCCACGTGAAAGCACTTTCTGGGGTGTTCTGACAATGCGCCTGGTGAGTTTTTGAAAGGCATCTTTTCTGCTGTCAAGGCAGCTTTGAAGGCACCATCTGGGGAAGTAGCCAAGAAGTCATTGGGTGAACTTCTCTGCTTTGCAAAGCTATTAACACCAGCACAGAGAAGAGGGAAAACAAAACTCTCTTCATAGCATTTTGAATTAATGTTTTTTTGTTGCTGCCAGGCATACTCCTGCCCCTCCTTATTCCAAACCCAAGGACAGCAACTGTTGGACTCCTGAAGGATGAGAGAGACAGAGAGGCTTTTCTGTGCAATGACTATATGGCACAGAAGTGCTGTGATCCATTAGTCAGCACAGCTGCTCCACAAAATAGCCAATACCCGGAATGTAACAGAACAAATTGCACATAACCAAAAAATACCTACAGCATACATCAAGCCAAAGTGACTCAAATGTCCCTTGCAGCGCTCTGGGGTGCTAATAGCCCCGCAACAAATGCCTTAGCCAGTGGCAAGGCCTTGAGCACCCATCTTGGGACAGGTCAGGAGTTTTGTATTTTGTCGGTGCCTCTTTCCAGACTAACTGAGATGAAAAAGTTGTGCGGTCACGTTACTGAAGTCTGCTGTGTGCCAACAGGTATTCTGGCTTTGAGAGCTGCCTGCACACGGCAGGGAACTAGGAACTGTGGAGATTAATTTCTACTTCGTCACTGACACTCCAAACGCACCGAGTCATTTATCATGGGGATCTGCTTTCTGATTTCTTCATAGCTACACAGTGCCCATATGTGTGAGCGCTGTGGTGCAACTGCTTAAAGGAATATTAGAACAAAGGTAAGGCACTCGCTGGAGGAAACTTGCAGAGTTTACCCTGGGAGACTAAAGGCTGGTTGAATAAATATGTCTTAGCACAGCTGAGGCTTGGCAAACAGCATTTCTGGCAAACGCTGAGGGAGGAAGTTCTTGGGGTCTGGGCTTTCAAAGAGGAAGATTCCTCCACTGGCTGCGAGCCTCCGGCGGGGCCGGGAGCCACGGCGCGGAGCTGGCCAGCGACGGCGGGAGGCGGGGAGGATGCTGCAGGCTCGCCAGGCAGCCCCGAGCTCCTGCGCCGGCATGCAGCTGACAGGGAAGGACCAGGAGGAAGACGAGAGCGATGCATTAGAAAATCTTGCTGAGACTTTCTTGCCCCGATGCTGGTACCAGGGCCTCAGCTCTCTGTGGCGGGAGAAGGACCGTGTTGGGCGTTGACTGAACGCAGCAGGGGTGAGGTGTGTGGAACGGATCTACTTGCAGAGCTCGACCCTTTCTCCTCACTCAACTGGAACCAGAACTGGAAAGCTACTGGCTTCCCCACCCGTGCTGTGAAGTGATGGGCTGTGTCAGCTGAGCCGCCCGCGGGTTTGACCGCTCTTGGTTCCCAAGCGAGGTCTCGGGCTGACGGGCCACCATGGGTTAGTGGCTTAAGGTCCCGCTTGCCAGGCGGGGCGTGGAGGGGAGTGCTGCGTGCCCTCCAGCTGGATTTGCTGTCAGGACTGAACAGATGGACAGTCTGTTTTGTGCTGCAGCCACAGCTGTGAGGAATTGCCTTGGTACGGCCCCTTGTGTGGACACTGTGTTCTTGTGTAGAGGCGCTGGGCGGGAGCTCACTGAGACTGGAACCTGGTGCCTGCCCGGCATCGCCTTGGCCGTGGCATTAAAAATAATCTACTCTCTCTGTGCAAGAAGGGCACTGTCCCTTCTCGTTAGAGTGACTGTGCAGTGCCCTCTCCAAGGCTGCTTGTTTCCCGAGTTGCTGTTCTGCTGAGACTGCAGCAGAGACCAGCTAATGCCAACCGTGGGGCACTTACTTTGTTATGAAGCACCAAAGTTCTTCAGGCTGAGCCTCGACTCAATCCATTGGGAGTATCCTGTCGTGTGGGAGCAGCTTGTGATTGCATATGCAACTTGTCTGGTGCGTGTGCAATGATGAGGGCATGTCAGAGAGGAAAGGTTTTTCCTTCCCTTTCCTGGCTCCTTCTGCTCAAGGTAAGTGCTGTAGCAACCTGGCAGCATCTTGCAGGGAGGATTCCAGGCTGGAAGGAAATGAAGGGGTGTCAAACCTGTATTGGCGTGGTTTCACTGGTAGGTGGAATTAAAAAGCTGGTGTCAATGGTTAGCTTAGCAAAGAGTGGGTTTAGTCTTAGAGATACGGTGCCCTTCCGTGCTGCACGCGAGGCATGGAACTGATGCAACTGTGCTTTTAAGTAGTTAGCCACAGGTTTATAAACTGATGGCCTGGGAACAGTGGAAACAATTCTGCGTGTCTTCGAACAAGCGTAGACCGGTATGATGGGCGAACACACCCCGAGGCCTGCAGAGCTCGTCCTGTGCAGCGTCCAAGGGGAGGTGGCGGAGGCCGCCTCTGGCCTCCGGCGTTGGTAGCCCACGAGCCCTCCTGCGCTGCACGGCACGTTCTGCAGAGGATGGAGGAGCAGAGGTTCACAGCCAGAGACTGCACTCCGGTGTCACCTCCTTTGTACATGGAACCTCAGCGGCGTTGGAGGGCTCAGGGTGGCGGTGGCCTGCGCTGGCCTGGCCAATGCTGCGAGATCTGGATTGGCACGGGAGCAGGAAGCTCTGAAACAGGTGGGAAAGCCTTCCCTCTGCGCAGGCAGTGGGCACTAGGGGTGCTCCGGTTCCCCAGGAACGCCAGCGCTGATATCTTCATGAGGGAGGGACGCTAGTTTCTTCATCCAGCACAGGCTGCTCTCAGATGCAACAGTGTCAGGCCACTGTTGGGAGCAGCGTGGGCTGGTGGACGTATTGCTCTCAGAGGCTTCCCTCAGGAAACCCCTGGCAGCCCGTCGGTTCTGGGTCCCGTGCTCACTGCGCAGAAGATTTTGGGGAAGGTTAGTCATCCAGAGCGAGATAGAACCTGATGCTTTTGCACGAGGAATGTTAGTGAGTCTCCAGCTTGATGCGTCCCCGGTATGCGGGTAGGTTAGGCTGGAAAAAATTGATTGAGGTTAAGTGCTGGCTGGGTGCATTTTCTCCTGAAATGAGTAAAAATGTGTAGTTATGATTTTGAACATGGAATTATGTAACCGTGATGTTCTTTAAAATGACTCTAAAGAAAAAGGTTTCACTATCTTCCATAGGGGTTAACCACAGAGTGGCCACATCAGTGGCTTTTTCACAAAATGTAGCGTTCCTCGACACTCCACTGAAGTGTTACAGTGTGAATACAGCAAATTACTTTATTGCAAAATTGATTGCGAGCTGCTGCTGCTTTGCTCATTACAATTTGTGAGAGTGCTATTGGAGTTTTTAAAATGTATTGCTCTGTGCAAAACTTTTAAGTCACTAATGATGAGAAAAATTACCTGGGAAATTAGAGCCAGTCGAGTAATATTGATGGTTCATTTGTCGGATTTCTGGATAAGCTTTGTCTAAATAATTTGGCAAACAATTTTCTCTTTATTCTTGAGTCCTTTGAAGCTTTTCCAATTCATTGTTGTTAGAGATGGGGCTGTCTTTGGAGATGCATGGTCAGCGTAGACTGAATACACTGCAGGCGTTAGGCAGCAAGTACCGGGCTGCTACGCGGGAGTAGCCCAAATGGCATCCTCACCTTCTGAGAGATAGCGCCAAGTGTGCTAGCGTCCTTGCTTTGTGATGTTCTGCTTTCTGGTTCGCATTCCAGGAAGCACAGCTTCTCTCCTCAGAAGGACTAATGTCTAGGGTTAGAACCGAGCTCGGATCCAGCCGCAGTGAAGCAGGGTGGTGAGACCACGTGCAGCTGCCTGTTCAGTCACTTTTCCCTAGCTGGCTCTCGCAGAGCCCTCCAGACACGGGTGAGTTCTGTCCACCCTCTGAAATGGAACTGCACCTTTCCAGATTGTGAGGAGAAAGCAGCGTGTTGGTGGGCTCCCCCGCTGCGACGCTGCTGCGGGTGTGGCTGCACCAGCAGTTGTTGATCCGGGGAGCACGGTACCTGAAGTAGGGTCCAACATCAACACCCCGGATCCTCAGGGGTAGAGGTGCTCTAGGTGCTGCCAGGTGTGCTCTCCACTGCTGGGGCATTGTTGGTTTGGTTTCTTCGACTTTGTAGGAGTGATAAGATAAAAACAGGAAGAGACCACAGCAGGCTCTGCAGTCTCCATCCTAAAAAGGTCAAAAGCCTCCTGTTTATTCTATCCCTCGGAAGTCCACGGCTCATGCACAGATACCTGTGGGATCTGAGGATGGATCCATTAGAAAACAGGAGGTTGCTGTGGGAACAAAGCAGACTTGATGTTGCTTTGAATTTTAGGAGGCTTTGGGTCTTAATAGGATAAAGTCTGTCAGACGTGTCAGGAGTTAGGGCAGTCTCCGAGTCCTGCTCTTCCTCTCCCCTCTCTAGTGCTCGCTCTTGCGTTGATCCTCTTCCAGGAGGAGGGGATGGCCTGTACACGTTTGGTGGCAGCTGATCAAAGCGCTTCCCTGTCCTGCTGAGGCTGGGACGTGGCGTGGAGCTGCGCGGACTCCTGCGACGCAGCTCCTCCGAGGCTTCCCTGGGAGCATGGCCTCTCTCTCCCCTAGGCCCTCGCGTCTGTAAAGCCTAATCACGTGCAACTGACCCTGTATCCTTGTTCACAGAACCAGTCTCACCTTTGGTATCATGACCTGGTGTCTTGTTTCTGTGGTCCTCTGTCCCCTTGAGTGTCCTGTGTTTTACAGGAGGTGAAACCTGTGGGATTTTCACCCTGCCAACATTACTCCTTCTTTTCTGAAGGAAACAGTTGCGTGTCCACAGCTGCATAACTAACTTGCTGCCTTTTCCTTTGTCTCCTTTTTCCTTCAGGAGCTGTTAGTTAATTCTAGATAAACATCAGCCACCAAAGAGCAGAGGACAGGGACCACAGATGCCCTTGGAAGCCCCAGCATCCTTCTGGATAGACACTGACCAAAACCGGTGCCTTCTGCCCTTCGCGGTCCAAGACAACGACATGATTCCTCGTCTGATTTCTGCATGTATCGGTCTCAGCGGATGTTCCTGGAGTTAGGAGGAGGGTCCTGGGAGAGGGGGGGATGCTATTGCTTCCTTTTTTGTTGTATTCCAGTGTAAAGAATCATACTGACCCCAGGTGCTTCCAGCACAACTTGTAGCTTGGAGGTTCGCTCAGCACGAGCCTGGTTCACCCTGTGCTAGCTTTGGTTTCACCAGTCCACATCTGAGTTTCAAGAGCTGTTATCTTTGTCCGTTTGCTCTGGGGAAAGGGGTCCAAAGCCTTTGGAAGTAACCCTGACCAGCTTGTTAGGATTAATTGTTCCTAGCCCGCTCCCATTGGTTACACCAGTGGGCCTTTTCCTCCCTTCCAAGGCTCCCTCCTCAACAATAAAGTGTTTAATGGTCGCTGTGTGCTGTCAGATACTTCGAGTCCCATGAGTTTGTAAATTGCTGTTTTCTGCCTCCTACCTATGCCAACAAAAACTCCAAACAAGTGCGAGGAATAGAAGTATTTCAAGTCACAGTTTATAAATCACAAAACTTGTTAGTTTTGATCCTGGACTGAATGACTTTGGCTTATTTGAAAATACTTGGAAGAGTGCAGAGTCCTGGCTGAGGGGAACTGGTGTTGGTGAATCATGCTGAAAAAACCTTTGCAGAGCCCAAGTTATCTTCCTTTGCACCAGCTCTCGTGTGCAGTTAGTTCCTGCTTTGTCTGCCTTTCAGCCCGGAGTGCGGAGCCGAGGGCCGTGGGAGCTGGGTGCCTCTGGCATTTTGTCCTCGCAGAGGTTTGCAGAGGACCCACCACCAAACCCGGGGAGCAGGTCTGGCTTGGTAACGCCGGCTAAAGCTGCTCCTCTGGCAGCGTTTGCTGCTCGTGTGTCTGTATCTGACAGTTTCTGAAGAATGTGAACATGGATTTTTGGAGGTCATGTCAGAGTTTAATGCAGTGTTTATGAAAACGAATGAGGAGGGCAGAGAATTGTTTTCTGTGTTATACTCTGCTTCGTCTCTTTTTCTTTAGGCAGCAACTTAGTGCTTTACATCTTCATTAAAGCAACACGATCCTTTCCTTCTTGTGGAGAGCTGATGCCACAACGCTCTTCCTCAGAAGTGATGTTTGCTTCTCCGTGGTTCATCTCTTAGTCTCAGATCTGGCAAAAATTCCAGCTTTTTATCACTGTGCAGGTCAAACTTGCCGTCCCCGAGGGAGGAAGGGCAAGTTTCCCAAACCAAAGTAGGACACTTGGTGCCCTCGGATCTGTGTGTAGCAGTGCTGGGTGAGCTTTTGCTGCTGCTGCTTGGGACAGCCAGGTTCTACAGCGCTGCGAACCTTCCAACTCTGCACGCACCTGGGGCTGTCCCTGATTAGATTTTATATTATTGCTGGTCTGAAGAGAAAAGTACCTATTTTGTCTCTTCCTCATTTTCCTCTTGCCCCTATCCAGTGTTTCTTTGGCATGAGTAATTTGCATGCCATTATCTCAGCTGCCCTAAATTGGGGGGAGACTGTGATGCCAGGGCTGATTATTTGGCGGCACTGGACAATTTTCTCTGTTAGGCAACTGTAATACATTTTCATGTTCTTTTATAATGAGCTTTATTTACCAAATTGGCAATTCCTCTGTTGAGAAATAACTGATTACAGCATTCAGGGAGTTGCTGTCATCTCAAGATATGCAGGTGTCTGTGGAACATAAACAGATGTGATCATTCAGACGGTGAACTCAATTGATAGAGGGTAGGGGGAAAAAAAACAGCCATAAAATCATAAATGTAACGTCTTCAGCCAGTGTTGGCCAGGTGCACTGCTGCTGTTTCGCAGCCCAGCAAGGACAAAGCGGCGCTCTAAGGCCATCCAGTACCTCCAGATGAGGGACTGCTTGCTTATTAGCTGAAAATACCCCTCTTGCCTGTCATCACAGTTCAGTCCTGCCTTGCCTGACTCTCAGCCTCTGGTAGTCTCCGAGGACAGACGTTACTTCATCATGTAGCCTTGAAGTGGGAAACTCCTCTGTCCTGCCGTGTTGGGTTTGATTTTTAGCTTGCTCTGTGATGAATGTCTACAAACTTCTTGGCGATGGTGTGTGTGGGGACTGTGGTCCCATCTGCCTCTCAGGCAGCCCCTTGCCTTTAGTGTTTCCCGGTGCCCAGGAGCAGTTTGTTGCTGCCGTTGCCCTAATCATCAGCTCAGGTATCTCAGCCTGGGGAAAGAAAAAGATGAGAAGAGACGTTGCTGGGAAATTGCTGAAGATGAAGTTCAGTTTGCAGAGCCTTGGCTGCCGTCTGAGTAAAAAATGTGCAGGTAACATAGCTTCTCAAGTGAGTGTTTTCTCTCCCAATCTTTGCTGCTCCTGTACCGCTGAGCCCTTGAAAGGAAGGAAGAAGCCCTGCATCTTCTCTTAGGCTCCGTCTCCTTACGTTTCTCCTTGACTGCTTGTTGGCTATTCAGAGCATGAATTTTTGTTCATGCAAGATTGTGACAGCAGGTGTCAGTTACGCTCCAAAGTGGCAGAGATCATTATTCCTGGAGCCTGGCGTCCAGTGCTCAATAGATGTCCTTATCACACAGCTACCATCGCAGCTGGCGTTAATGGGCAACCAGGACAGCAGCATAAACAAGGTCTGAATCTATTGTAGAAGCTGAATTGGAGGCAGTTTCCTCCAAAGGCCAGGCTGAGGTAGGGTAGGGGCAGCAGCTGTGCTGCTGGTAAAAGGGAGCTCGCTGGTATCGGGGAATAGCTGTGACTAGAACCAAACCTGCCCGGTGCTGGGTGCCGGTCAGGGCGGTCCTGGGGGTCCATTTGGGCTGCCTGGTTATGGCAGTTCTGCTGTGCGAAGTGGGTCGGTTTTGGGTACAAATGCAGCCGGTAATTCGGGTGCAACGTGTGCAGCTGCAGTAGGTGCGTGTGACGGCGCAGCCTTGCGGAGTGCCCGCTTGGCAAGTCTGAATTGTTTTAAAGCTGGCCGGATGAATGGAAGGAACAACCTTTCTATTCATGAATAATTTTAGTGTTGCAGGAAGGAAAAAGAACAAACCCAACGAAGTTAGAGAAGGTACAGCAAATAACAACACAGAAATTTTCCAGTAGGCTTCAACAGCTTTTAAAATAAAACGTTCAACAAGCACTTTGAGATTCCAGCGTGCAAGAACATCCTGGGCTCTCTGAGCGCCAAATTTGTGATCTTGCATAAAAACACAACCCATTGCCTCCCGTTGTTAATATTTCACACTCGGCTTTGCAAGATGCTTTATCTAATATCCTCTCTGCATTCAGGCTTCTACCAACTCTGCCTTGTCCATAACGGGGGAGGCTGGAGGAGGGAGGCAATTGCCGAGCGCATCTGTAATCTATGTGGGAGGGTTTTGTGTAGCTGTAGGGGAAGAGTAAGTCTCATTTCCTATTTTATAGTCTGCTGAATCCTGTGATCTCATGCTGTGTGCTCCTTTTCCAAGCAGAATTTTTCAATTTGTCTTTCAAGTTGTTGTTGTGGTTTTTTTTTTATTTTTTATTTCCAAACTGGTTAAAAGTGTTTGTCTGTAGCTTGTTGATAAATTGTTTATGTCTGATTCCCTAAAACGCCTCATTGCCAGTCCTGTACGCCTCTCAGGACCATGTTGTTGTCTTTGCCAGGTGACTTGGTCTTTTGGGGTTAGCAGCAGTGTAGGTACAAGGACTCTCCACTGGTTCCCTCCCACTCCCTCTAAGATTTGCTGTAACTGGGTGTACCTGGATAAAATTCAGCCTACAACTGCAGCAGCTCTTTTGGCCACCCCGGGCAGCCGTGTCACCCAGCACTGTGGAGTTTATCAGCCTTTTTTCAGAAACCCACGGGAGCCTGAAGTGCCATCAGAGTCCTGCAGGCTCGCAGCCCCCCACCCGCTCCCTTTCTCTTTTATCCTTGGAGAAGGTGGGTGGGATATTCCTCAACTACCCGCCTGCCCTCCTTATCTCTCAGCCTTATCACGCTGCTCTTGGGGAGTGTGGTGACTCCTCCCAGGCCGATGCCTTGGGAGAGCGAAGGGTGATGCAGACTGAAGCAGCTGGCCTGGACCAGCAGTCCCCCTCGTGCTGAGGTTGTTGGGGGAGGCGATGACCCCCCTCCATCTCCCCCCCCCCCAG